CATCCATCAGCTCGTGCCGGGACTGTGGCCGGAGCTTGCGGCGTGACACCGAGCGAGCGCGGCGCGGAGGCCGCCGGGGCTTTCCGCGGAGAGGGGATGTTCCTTGGGAACTGCGCGGGGTGACAACAGTCGCTCTCTGGCCAGTGGGGCAGAGGAGTAGGAGGTGGAAAGGAGGTGAATGTTGTCAGCTAAGAGGAGGGAAGCCCCGAGGCAGCACCTCTCAGAAAACGATGGTCAGCACTAAAAGTCAGTGGTCAGCACTAAAAGTCACTGGTGACCAGTGATGTCTTGTAGGTGGTTGTGTGTGTGAGTTCAGCTTGGAAGCAACTCCAGTGAGACTTCTTTTTCTTCCTCAAGAAAGAACTGAGGAAATCAAGGAATAATTTGGGGAACAACCTGGAAGTACAGGCAGTGAGAGGGGGGCAGGGATCTCCCTGCAGCCTGGGGAGGCCTGTACAGATGTGTCTGCGCTGAAGGAAGGAGGAAAGAGCTTTTCTGATGCAGAGATTTGGCTAAATGACTTCTGCTGCTTACAGAACAATTTCTGCGGCCAGAGAGTACCTGGACCCTCAGGGTAGCAAAATAACGACAACTTGGGCAAGTCTGAAAGCAGTGCCTAAGCCCTTTGGAAAACAAAGGAAGCTTTTGTTTGTGATTATTGAAAACAAAAGTTGCTTCTCAGTTATCCTGAGTCGTGTCTACCCCTCCCAGGCTTTGCATGAGGCACAATCCTTGTGAGTCCACATGCCTTCCCCAGTATACTGGGAAAGCTGCTGGAGCCTTTACAGCTAGGAGGGGATAGAGAAATCTGGAGTGGACTTTTTCCCTGGAAAGTCTGCTTAAGCTTGAGGTGGGACAAGCATTCTGACTATCATGCAGAGGGCCCAGGTTTAGGTGTCGAGGGAATTGATTTATCCCTCTCAGGAGCAATGATCTCTCTTTAGAAGGTTGAAGGGAATTTACTGGCATTAAGAAGATTTGTGGAACCGCTGTAAATTTCCATGTAGTGTGAGGCAGGCTCGTGTGGTGTGGTGTGAGGTGCCCTGCTGTGCTGATTCCCGAGCTGCTTTTGTACTGAGATACTCTGGGACAGAATTCTTTACATTTCCCAGACATTTAACCTTTGGGCTGGGCAAGCAAATTAGCAACATTTTGATTGACAATAATTGGTGATTGCTCAAAAATACAGTTTGAATTTTGGTAACTGGCATGTAAGAAATCTATTTTGGAACTGTAGCTACCTAGGCCAAGTCCTTGCTGTTCAAGTTGTAAGCAATCATAATGGTTTTCTATCTGTTCACAACTGTTTGCTTTCTCTCTCTCCCTCTTTCTGGGAACTTGATTAATTTCTCATGGCTTGATTAATTTCCTCTTACACGAAACTGAAGTTAAATCAATGGGTGTGTAATTAGGGCAAGAAGGCTTCTTAGTTGTGCTCAGATGTTCCAAGGTATTAATTGAAACATCATTTGGACACAGATAAGCTTGGTAACAGTTGTGAGCACCAGCAGATAAAGACAAGGTACAAAAGGAATAACCGGATACCGTTGCCCGTGACTCCCTCCCAGCACAGAGCTGCCTCACCAGTCCATGACTCAAGTCAAATTTGATTTAACACTCATTCCATTCCAGGGGTCCTAGCCAAGATTTTCAATTTTAACAGGAAAATGATGAGTTTGTCTCCCAGGTTATCTGGGAACCCTGGCTTGTCTTGATACAGTGGATCTTCAGATCTTTGTTCCTGTTGGGTGACCAAAGACTCTGTGCCAAAACATTAAGGAATAATGACTGTGTGGTTTAGGAGCCCTGACTCAAGAAAATCCAAGGTCTGTTCAAAGTATTCCTAATGCCACTTAGCTGGCAGGAGATGCTGACTGCAGGTTGCTTTGCTTGGCACTAAACTTCATCCCCTTTGTGCCCTGAGCCTGAGGACAGAGCCTGGTTTGTGCCAGCTTCCCGCTTTGCTGGCCATGTCATGCAGCTGTGGGAGAAGGACATCCTCTTGGCAGGGCAAGGCTAGCTGTCAGCATGGACACTAACTGAGGAGGGACAGCCCTGTGTCACCCCCCAAGGTGGGAAGGGACTGTAGGAGGTAAAAGGGAACAGAGAAGCCAAGGTGAAGGTTGGGGTCTGCAGGAGCTGTGAGGGATCCCCAGAGGGGAGGAGATGGAGGAGGCAACAGAGGCTGTCGTGTCTTCACCCTCTTGCATTTGGTAAGAGGGTGGTTGCCATAGGAATAAGATATAGAGTATTTGTCCTACCATTTGAATTTTTTTTCCTAGATATTTCTTAAATCTTTTTTTTATTGTTAATTAAAAAAATTCCTTCTCTAAAAATTTTGCCTTATGCAAAACCCACGTTGGTTTTCCATATTCAGTTTAAAAAGCAAGTTTGCCTTACTTACTGGGTGCCTGAGCTGCTGGATTGGATTTCTGTCACTGCACTGCTGCAGGGGCTTAGAAAGTGATGCAAGTACCTTCTGCTTCAGGAACTGCCACCTTGCATCACACCTTGTCCAGGCTGGGAGTGCGGTGGCCTCAGGGCTGTCCCAGCTGAGAAAGGATCTTTCCAAAGAGTCACTCCAAATCTCTGTGACACTTAACACTAATTCTATGTGCATCACCACCACCTGCCATCAGAGAAGAATAAATCACAGCCATTCACCAATGTAAGCAGAATTTCTATTCTTCAAATGACTTCAAAGCATGTTCCTGGGAAGCGACTTGTCCAACACAGGGGCTAATCTTGAAGGGGATTGAGGCAGTCTTATTTCTAAGCCTCTGTTTTAATTGCCAGGTTTTACATTGCCTCTCTTCCTTGTTGGCATGAAAAAAAATGTAAATTAAAAAACCCAAACCCTAAATCTCAATTTCTCTTATTTTTTCCTTCTTCCACTTATTCTGCATGTAGAGATCATTACCTTGATAGGAGTTATTAATTTGAATTTACATGAGTATGATTAATGTGGCCTGTACTAGATATTAATTTTGCTGAATCAGAATAGATATAATTGAAAAATAACTTACCTGTCCTAGACTTCCTCCTTGGGCTTAAGTGTTTGATGCAAGCAGGGACTCATTTTCCTGTATCACTTGGCCTTCTCCCCAGAGGAAGGACATTTAAGAACATTCTCACATCATGAATAAATTCATCCTCCATGTAAATACATAAAGAGAGAGAGAAAAATGTCCTGCTTTGGTCATCTGCCACCTCAGAACAACCTTACACAGGTTCATGTGGTAGTTGTTTTATTAAATCTCACTTTTTAGTGACTGTATCTGCTGAATGCTCAACTTCTTTGAAAGTCTTCTCTTATGAAAATACATTTTTCCAACATTAAATTATGAAACTTAATTGCATTAAATTACCAGAAGTATAGGCTTAGCCTGAATATGAAAAATATGAGTATGATAAATCATAGCCTATATTTTCATGTTATTAAATATATTACCTTGCAAAGGTTAATCTCTCTCTACTTCAGGCATACTTTGATTTGCAGTGGTGTGTGCACTGACTACAAAATGTCTCTTCCTCCCCTTAGTTTTTGATGATGAAGAAGAAAGCAAGTTGTCTTACACAGAAATTTATCAGGAGTATCAAGCTCTGGTGAGCATCATTCACTATTTGTGGTAAATTTCCTGGAAAAGAGAATTTAAAATGTTAAATTAGTATTTAGCTGAACTTCTAATTGGGTTCTCTTTGTTATTTAGAATTTTCTAACGTTGCCTGTTCCAAGTGTTGTTTAGAAATCCTGTTCTAGTTGTCACATGCATTTTTAACATCAGGTATGTAGAAAAGAGGCTGTATACCAGTCATACCTCTTATTTTATCTCTTAAAGCATCAACTGAATAACTACAAACCAACATCCATTTCTGCTCTGACCCTAAAGGCTTTCAGGCACACAGACTGACAAAAAGCTTTTTGCCTACACCAAAAGATGATGAGGAATACTAGGCAGGAGTCTGGGGAAAAGGTAGACAAGTGAGATTCTTGGAAACTGGAGAAGATAAATTATGGAGTAATTAAATTGAGCAATAAAAAGGCTTATTTTGAGCAGTTCATGAAAGCAAACAAAGCCTGACATATCCGAAAGATCATTTATGCTATTGTAATGATTTTGCTTTGAGTTTAAAAAATGCAGTATCAGCAGAAAGGAATGTACAATCATGAAAAAATCCATATGATTCTTAGGGAAAACTTTACAAAGTAAGGCTTATACTTTCTTACAGGTGGAAAAGTTATTAGAAGACTATCTTAAAGAAGTTGGAATTAATGAAGAGAAATTCCAAGAAGCTTTCTCATCTCCTCTTGCAAAGACACACACTTCACAGGTATTTGCCTTCATTAATGCAGGGATGATTTAATGCTTAGCTTTATGTTTTCACTTTTTCAGTGAAAACCTATACCGTGAAAAAAACCCCCACCTCTATAATTATTAACAACATGCTCCTCAGAATGTAACTCTCAATCTAATTTCAAGCACACTGAGCTGGTTCTGGTTTCTGTAGGGTTTAATTTGGTGTGTGTCTTCCCTCCCACAGGCCATTCTGCAAACAGTGTTGGCGGCAGAAGATTTTAGACTATTTAAAAAAATGATGGTACAGAAAAATGTCGAAATGCAATTGCAAGCTATTAGAATCATTAAAGAAAGGAATGGTAAGCAGCGGTGAATGTGGGGCTGCACTTCAGCTTTTTAGTGTTCTTTTGGTGACTGTTTGAGCCATTCATAAATGAGTGTAGGATACTGTATCCAGGACCTTTTCGGAAACAGTTACAGAGAGGCTTTGGTTTTGTGGATGTGGTTTTCTTGTGTTTGGGGTTTTTTTTGGTTTTCTTTTTCTTCTCTCGCAGCCAAATGGAGAACCAAACCATTTTCTTTATAGTAAAGCATGAATTTTGCCCCATTTTTACAGGTGTGTTGCCTGAGTGTTTGACAGAGGGTTCTGATGTATTCAGTGAAATTGAACAAGAAGAAATGAAAATACTCAGGGAGGTTCTAAGGTAAGAAGTGAATCAGTCGTACTTTGTATGCTAGTTTCAAATAAAAAATAAAGGAACACAGGACCTAACTCTTCCAGCCTTATCCAGGAAACTGCCTTCATCTCAGAGGTGGCAGGAATGTTCTTGTCACAGTCCTGCCCAGAGAAGATGAGTGGTGCTGGACAGTGGGTGTGATCAGGAATGTTTAAAGACTGAGCAAGAACTGCTCTGCCATGGGGCTGCCTTGGGGCCCCATGGAATGCTGTGCAGCCTCCAGCCTCCTCATCTTCTCTCTCCCCTGAACCTCCAGGGGCACCTAAAGTTGGTTAGACTTGGGTTAGATGTTTCTGGACCGTGGGAGCACAGTACCTGTAATCCATTCTGGAACATCCTAAGTATTAGGGCCTTGTAAGGACAAATGCTGCTTTTCCATAGGCTTTATTCCTTTCTACACCTTCTTCTGAGTGCATTTTCATTTAAGTAATGGAAATATTTTGGATACTAACAAATTCACATTACGTTGTTCTTGCTTTGGTAGTCCTCAAATATTTAAGCAGTGTTAAATTTCCCTAAAACTCACTAAGACTAAAGGAATTTTGAGTATTTACTTGTATTTTGTGTTACAGAAAATCTAAAGAAGAGTATGAAATGGAGCAAGAAAGAAAGAGGAATGAAGAAGTGAGTATCTTACCTTCCCAGATGAGTTATGGTGATGATTAAGAAATGCTCTGATATCCCTGCCCTGACTGTATCACTTCAAGGCAGTGTGTAGCATCAATATGTGCATCACACCATAAGCATATTCCCTCCTCAGTACCTGAATCCTAAAATCCTGCCAAGGGATGTCAACCTTTCAGATCCAGAGAACATCTGAATTACTAATATTGTCAAGATCAAAGAGGCTTCAGATTATAAGATGCTTGGAGATGGCAGCAGTCATAATCCTTCAGGAATTACTTTCAGGATCACTTAGTAGACAGTACAGTTATTCATTAAATCTGCACAATACTGCCAGAACCTAATCACCAGGACCCTGAAATCCTTAGTTAGGCCATGATGTGATGTCCATCAGAGTAAGACATGTAGAACGGACATCGAATGTAAATGGGAACTGGAAAAACTGTGAAATCATGGCAATAAAACTCTCCTGCACTGGGGAAACAGGCAGACTCCTCATCCCAATCTTTACAGACCATTGGAGAATATTCACATTCTTGATAAACAAGCCAGATTAGAGGCCCCAAACAAGTGTACACCTGGATAGAGAAGGTGAGTTAGTGTTAGATTTTTTTTGTTAAGAGAATTAAGTTAAGTACATTTTTTTGTTAAGAGAGTTTTTTAATACGAAGTAGTTGAATATTCTAATGAATGCTGAGGGGGTTTGCTGTGAATTAGATGGTTGATGAGCAGCACAGACGTTTTCTGGCATTACTGTTCTGAGAGGTGGATTGCACTGTATGTAGTGTAAACAGCACAGTTTTTACTGGAAGCTCTTCCGGGAGCTTTCTTTGTGGGACAGTTAAATGCCTGAAGCACAGCACCAGGAGATGTAATCCTTGGGTTTGTTTGTTTGTTTTCTAATTTAAGGCACGTGTGAAACTTAAAGCACCAGATGTTACCCACAGCTCTCCAAGAGATTCCAGAGAAGCAGGAAAAGTAAAGGAATCTGCTGAGGGAGGTGAGGAACCTGAAGAAACTCCAAAACGTCCACTAGGTAATTTCAGGGGAGAAGAGACATCTGGATAGTGGAAGAAACACTGGTTTATTATTTTTGTCTTATGTATTTCTTTTCTTTCTACTTGCTTTCTGTGGAAAATTACTTAGGGGAATCTCAGAAATCTGCAAAGGAAGACCCAAAACCAGTTCGCCCACTACAAAAAGGAACTGAAAGCTTACCTCAGCCCTCTTGTGCCAAGGGGAAAGAAGACACCAAGAAAAGATCTGCTGGGAAATGTTCAGAGAACACAGCACAAAAACCTGCAGTGAAAGGACCTGTAAGTCAAACAAACAAATAAGAAAACCCCCAAACATAGAACCAGAATAGACAAAGAGAGGATTACATGCACAGCGTACTTTAAAGACAGTGTTTTATTTAAATACGGATTTTTTAGCTTGAAGCATCAACTTGGGTTTGTTTCCAGTAATTTTGGAAGCAAATAGGATATTTGCTTTTCTTGCATGGAACGTTTGGATATCAAAAACTCATTTCAAAATTTTTTTTACATTTCTTTGCCCAGAATTTATCAGAAACTGAAAAGCAGCAGCTGAAGCAGCGAGAGGAGTACCTAAAGAAAAAACGAGACTTGCTGCTGGCCACGAAGAAAGAGTCAAGGAATAACATACCATCACCACCAAACACTGAGCAGAAAGAGGAGGAATCGCCTCCCAAAGAGGTGAAGGCCTCAGACTCTCCTCAGCCTGGCTGCTGGATACAACCATGGCTGGGCTCAGTGCAGGTGTCAATGCTGCTGCTGTGTGGTCAGGGTTAAAAAGAGCAAGTGGGGGAAGTAGAGAGGAAGTCTTTCCAAGTTACTGGTTTTGCTGGACGTTTTAGGGATGAAGTTGGCATTGCTTTGCTTCAGTATCCTCAAACCCTCATGATTTATTTTAGTTTATGAGTGGTTTAAATGCCAGTTTGTTCCTAATCTCTGACCTACTGTTTAGGCTCCTTTCAATCTTGTATTTTTTTCCCCTATCTGAATGGGAAAAATCTTTCACAAATGCTTCAAAACTCTCTCTCAGAACCAGAGGAAACTAGTAGAAGACATTAATCCCCCACAAAACAATGTAATAACTGTTGTGTTTTAAAACCAGAGATCATTGCTCTCCTTTATAGAGCATGTGCTTAAGTGCAAGGACTTGCACTTTGCTCTAGTATTTTTCAGAGTTGCTAAGCATTTTATTATGCTCAGAACGTGCCTAAAATCATGTTTGGTTGAGGAACCTTCAGGACAATTGCACAGCAGCAGCTGAAGCTGAGGCTAGGCCTCCCAAACCTTTGGGTACAGGGGGATGGGAAGAGTGACACCCTCTGCTCCGTGGTGGGAGCTGTGCCTGCCAGGGAAGCTGTGCTGCTCACTGCAGTGTTGTTGTCCCTTTGCTTTTAGGAGATGTCAGAAGAGAAGCAAAGGTTACTACAGAAGAGGAAGATGCTTGCTGAAAAACTGAAAGAAGAAGTTATTCACAAGCGATAGTTTCAAGCAGCTCATTGCAGAGGCCAAGAACAAAAGGATGTTTTTAGAATAAATCATGTCATCAATAATTGAAGAAATTTGTTTTCCAGTCTTAATTTTAGTTTTACTGAACTTTTGGACAAGCAGCTCAGCACTTGGCATATCCGTATTTGAAATTACACTGAAATACACTATGAACTTGTATTCCAGAGTGCTGGAAACTCCGTGTGTTCAGCAGTGTGGCCATGTGACATTGCTGCAGCACAGGTGTGTCCAAGCACAGGCCTCAGCCACTTGAGAGCCTAGAGAACAGAACTTCTTTAAAGTATAGAAGTTGAACCCTTTTCTTAGACCGTTCTAAACAAACCACGCTTTTCAGCTGTGCAATGCAATAAAGTCTAATTTCACAAGGAAGTGCAATCATGACCATCTCATTTTTGAGAAAGATAATGCAGCTTCAAGTCACTTATAGTACTTGACAGACTTCTGAGGCAGATTACCAGTCCCAAGGTTCAAGTTTCTTCTAAACACAACTTGAAATCATTTAGGTTTGAGTTACAAACTGGGGCTGTCCCCAGCAACTCACTCCTAGGGAAGCAGAAATCTGTTTGAATCCTTTACTGGTTTGGATTGGACCAAAGCCAGCAGAGGTCACCCTTTGCCCATGGCATTACACCTCTGACTGCCACAGCAACTCCCAGGAAGAGAAACAAACGCATCCAGGCAAGCTTCATGTAAATTTTTATTAAAATATCTTTTAATACTGATACACATTGGCAGACTTCCTGTTCTTTTCCAAAAAGAGTGGAAGGACCCCAGGCCAGGGCACAAAGGCAGCTGTCCATGAGGGCAGACTGCGACACAGCATCGAGGGGTAACAGCCCCAGGCAAGAGCCAGTTAAAGAGTGCTGCAATCACCTTCTACTGTCATTGTAGGTTGGTGGGTTTTAAATGGGGCATCTAATGCCACTTCGACTCAGTTCTTTCCTACTAACTATAAACATTAATGACATTCTTGGTTTTGCTCTGAAAAAATCTCATGTTCATCTGCATTTTAAAGTTCCTGCCAGTACTTCAGCGAGGCCTTGGGGTGGTGAGGAGCAGAGCAGGGTCTGACTCACTTCTGTTGGAGACCTGCAGAGCTTGGGGAGGTGTTAAAGACAATCAGGACAATGTGGGTCCACACACCAGGTGATGCAATTTTTCAGCCTTGAGTCAGTGAAGGCACATCCTGTGCAACTGCTGCTCCAGTCAGGTGTGTGTGCTGGAGAAGTTTCTCTAGGTCAAGATTGAGAAAACTCATTGGGAAGCAAACCAGACATCACCAGCCTAAGAGTGAGCACACCATGATATTGCTGCAGCTTGGCTTGACCAGCAAACACTTCCTCAGATCCTGAGACGGTGTTCCATCACACAGGTGAAAAATAAGGAGTCCTGTGCTCGGTGGCCTGGAGCCCACCAAGGGCAAGACCACCATTCCCAGGTCCAGGCACACACACTGTCATCCATGTCTTACTTATGTGTTGGGATGAGCTCAGAGATTCCCTCTGAGACTTCATCTAGTGCTATAGAACTACTTTGAAAACTGCATGGATAACTCCTCTTAAACAATACTCTTAAAACGGTCACATTCCAAATTCTGAGTTGACCTACTATGTGTAACAAACCAAACCAAAGCAATAATTATGGAATTACAGGGTCACATTTTAATTCCTGAATTTTACAGTTCATCATTAATATCACCACATGTATACAAATGGTGTAAAACAAGTACAGTGGTATCTTTAATACAAAATAAACTTCTGTTTTATGGAAAAACTATACTTCATATCTACACAGACAGCCCATCCTTTTCAAACAAGAGCTAAAATTAAAACTAACTACAAAAAGTCTCCAAAACAGAGAAACTGCTTCTGTTCAAACTATTCCAGGAGAAATGGACCCATAACACATATTACAAGAGTGATCTATGTGGTGGATTGCAGCTGGTTCCATCTTTTAACATCTCTGACATGTTGTCATTGGAAACTTCCTCTCACTTCACCATGATCTCAGATCACATATGGGCAAACTAACATTAAAATATTTACAGTTCATGTGCTGCTCTTGAGAATAAAACCTGGACTGTTTGCCTCTGTCAACTCACCATCAACTCACCTATTTCTGTCACAGTTCGCTTACCTATGTGGAATGTGCTTTTGTTTTGAAAAAAAGCAGCTTTTGGATCACATCCAGGCTCAGGTGCTGCTTGCTGATTCTGCCTCAAGGACTGCTGTTCTGCTGGCAGTAATTCCATCTTGGTCCAAACTGACTTTGGTGTTAAAACACTGCTAAATGCATCACTATGAGAAACCTCCTAGTGTCTCTTATTCCCACCTCAATCCTGCCATTTAGACACACGAACAGGAAAACAGCTGCTCCAAGAGGAGACAGTGCTTCGAACAACACAGAGTGTAGCTGGAATTTGGGATCCCCCCAACCTGATGCTGACAGTGCCATGTACAGCACCACCACGACACAAACAACTCCTGCAGATCCTTTTGGAAGTGATTGCTCCTTGGCATGGCTATTATTGGATGTCTAATGGAAAGACAAGCATAACCTCCCGTCTGGAATCCAGCTTCTGCTCCCTCCTCTTGGAAAACACAAATTAAAACTTTTGAACTGTTTGAAACAACTCAACATGCACTATAACTGCAGCGTCCCTCCCTCCAGCCATGAGAAATGGCATTTAGTTGGTAAGAAATGGTCCCAAAAAATGGATTGTTCTTATGCAAACAGAGTTAGTTTTCCCTTCAAATTTGTTTTTAAAAGAGGCATTGCTAAAAGAACACAACTGACAGCACCATTACAAAATTAAGATTACTGGGTTCAAAATTTAAGCTTGAATTTTATTTTGTTTTCCTAGTTCTGTTAAACACTGGGGAAACCCTGCAATATTTTTAAAAAAGTGTTACCATACCTTCCCCCCTCCCCTGCCCTCCCGACACCTGAGACTTTCCTTGCTGAGAAGCCATCATCCAGGTTCTGAGAATACTAACCCACCTTTTTTTTTTATTTTTAACTTTTTTGACAGCCTGAATGCCAGGCTCCTTTTCTAGAAAGACATTAAGTTCCTTGGAAGCTTTGTGTTTACAGAACTAACCCTTTCTAGCTGATACACTGAGTTTCTTTTGCTACTCCTTGTATTATCTTATATACTCATGGGAGAAAGCTTTCTGTATCAGATTCTTTTTAGCTCTTAAAACAGTTGCAGCATTTGAAACCCCGTAATAAAAGTTCTTATTCCAAACTTTTGGTTTCTTTTATGAACCCAGACGAGGTCTTTTCCTTGGAGATGTCTCTTCCTCTTCCTCCTCATCTTCGTCATCAGGATAATCCACTAGGCCAACTAGACTTCCCTGTCAAATAGAAAAAGGAAAAAAAGGAAGTCCTCACCTTGAACAAATACCCAGAAATGAGCCATTTGAGTACAGCCCCCAGCCCGGAACACACACACCAGCCTGCAGCAGCAGCAGTTTCCTGGGGATGCCTTTGCCATTGCAAGACCCGTTTGTCTGGAGAGTGGCTTTCATCCTCCAAGCTGCAACAAGTACTGGAGCTTCCTTGCTCCTCTGGCTCTGGCCTCGCCACTGTTTACCATCACTTCTAAGCTCCCAGCTGGACAGGCACAAACTCCAGTGTGCACAGACAGCCCTTTTCCTGCTCAGCCTTAGAGGGGGGCAATAACATTCCTGCCGCACTTTTCTGTGGCTGCTCAGGAGCTCATGGGCTGCAGACTCCAATCCTGCACGGCTGTGTCAGGCACCACAGAGGGTCACTCACTGCACTTGGCTGCTTAAAAACACCCAGGAATTCCCTGGCAGGGAGGCACTAACATGGTTTTGGGCAACTACAATGTGTGCATCACACACAGAGCAGCCAAGCAGGAAGCCAAGGAGTGGCAACAGATAAATGATGCAGATGTGAGACGAGACTATGCCCAGAGTGCCAACATACTCCAGCCCCAGCCAATCCCTCCTTTCCCCTTCCCCCAAACCAGTCAGCATGTCAAGAGACAGGGCTGGGGGAATTTATCCTTGACCACGAGCCCCTGCCCACAGGCTGCTGTGTTACACCCACACAGCCCCACGAGGTGCTGCACTGCGCTGCGCAGGGACAGCAGCTTCCACACGAGTTGTCCCACCTTGGGAGCTGTCACTGCTGGGGTCAGGGTGGTGTTCTTGGAAGAGGAGCCGTTGGAGCTTGCTGGTGATGTCTGAGCTGCCACGGATTTACTGTTTGTACCATTTGCACCATTGGCTGCGCTGGCTGAGTGGGAAAAAGTGAATTTGAATCCCCCAGCTGAAGTCCTTTTAGGAAGATTTTCTTTGTCTTCACTCTCCTTAGCTGAGGGACAAACATTTTCATACTTAAGTATCAGCTGTACACCATGGAGTACAATCTGCATCACAGCACAATCGCAGGGCAAAAGCCAATGGGTGTTTTTGGCTGCAATTCAGTTTAAATTGGAGTGCCCATCCTAACCTCACCCAGAGGCTGCCAGCAAGCTGAGCAGGGCTCAGATGCTGCTGGCATGGGGACATTGCTCAGCCAGAGCACACAGACACAACTGAAGTCCTGCTGTTGAATGCCATTTCAACTAGATGCATGCTTGAAGCAGTTTCACTTGCTATTTTAATCCTAAACTAGCTTGCAAAGACACGCTTGAAACTCATGAATTACACAGAAAACCCTTACTGCTGTTTATGGTAGAGAGCACAGACCACTGGCTCGTTTAGATGATACTCCATGGAACTGCCACAGAGCACTTCCAGTGCCAACAAGCTCAAACTGAGTAAGTACCTTTTTTAGTTTCCATAAATTTTTCATAGCTATCTGGAAAGTCATCCTCCTGTTTTGACTTCTCAACTGGAGGTACAACAGCTTCGCCTTCTTCCTCTTCATCTTCATTAAACCACATTTCTTCATCCTCCTCTAAGGCTCTTGCATCTCTGCGAAATCTATTGCTACGCAATATAGATGGGACACTGTAAGAGACACAGGACAGGTGATTCCAGCTTTGCTGCTGTTTCAGACTCAGAATAGCTTCCAGAACTTTAGAGGGAATTTGGTGCATTCGAGAAGGCAATCCAGCTCCATCCCTAGTTCCACCCTCACTGTAACCTTCACCAACAGCCTAACCCCAGCTGATGATGAGGCAGACTGAATCCTAACTCAGAGTGACAGAGGAAGATCCTGCTCTCACAAGCTGAGAGTTTTCTGAATGGGACATTTAATCCACTGACCGACATCAGCTCTCTCTGACACTGGCCACAAGGAAAGGCAGATGGGTCTTTCCTCTAATTCATGAAGTTTCTGTCAAGAATGGAACCCAACCCCAGCCCCAGGCACTTGATCCTGCTGCCCTCTGGGAAAGGGAAATCAAGCAGCAGCCCTACAGTCACTGATAGTCTCAGAGCCACAAACTGGGACCTACCTGTTCAGTTTCTGGTTTTGTCGGTCTTTTTCCTGCTCATATTTTGTCTTCAGTCCCTTGAATGTCTGAACATACTCAATAGATTCAAGGGCATTATAGAAGTTTTCAACTATATGTGCAATAAGGGACTTAATATCTTCCTGCAGAAGAACAAAACAGAGTTTCAGCCTCAAATGGTCACAGGCACAAGTCCAGAAAGCTTTTGAGTTTCGTTTGGAAAGTGACAGATTCCTCAGCCAGAACCAAAACACTGTTCTGCAATATTGTACAAATGTGAAGCAATCAGATTGATCCTTAATAAAAAAGCTGAGATCTAGAAATTATTATTAAGCTTCCCATGGAAACAGACAATAGACTCACAGCAGGGTCACAGCTCTGTGACACTTTCATTAAACCAGGATATTTTACCTAGGATAGCTGTGCCCTGCTCTCTTCTCCTCACAGGTTCCAGCTCTCTCCCCAGTGCTCAGTAACTACAGCAGCTCACGTGGGACAAGGAGCCTCTTGGTCAGTCCCCCTCTAACAAGTCTATTACTGTATGACACAAATCCTAATGTTCTCACCCTGCTGACAGAAGTCACCTGCAGACACAGTGCATTTTCTCCTGGCTGGAAAAGACAGCAGCTACAATATCCTATGACTAAAAACTGCCCTTCACTTTCACAGGCCACAAATATTATCTGAAAAGACTCCCACACATCAAGGCTCTCACAGTGAGTGTCTCAGAAGCTGCTACAAGTCCTTGTTTTCCAGCCAGCTGGTGCTCCTGCTTGTCCTGTCCACACACACAGCATTCCCACGAACACTGCCAGTGGAAAAGCTACTGATACAAAGCTTAGACTGGCCAGAAAGCACATGTGTAGGATTTTAAAGGACAATGACCATTCAATTTTGTAGTCCAATTAGTCTCACTGAGACGCAATAATACCCAGACTTATTCACAACATATTTCTCTTAATTCTTCAGTGCAAAGGTTGGTCCAGAAATAACACACTGTAGCACTGAGAGGAACTGAACCTCCAGGACACTTACACAAATAGGGCTGACACATCCCCTGTGGTCAGAAAATCATGTAAAACAAGTAGGTTACAGGTTCATTTTATTTGTGTATTTATCTATGGGAATTTTAGTTTGGGATTTTAGGTACTCATACCCTACTTGAAGGGAAAGATTTGTGGTTTGTATTTCAACCTGCAATGCCACATCTGTGTTAGGGCTGAAGCAGCTGCTTAACTCACCACTCTGATGAATTCAAACAGCTCAATCACAGCAGAGTTGAGCAGGTTGTACCTAGTTCCATTATCTAAAAGAGCATTTATAACTGGCTCAAAGAGGTTTCCCTTGGTGATATAACGGTTATAAAATTCATCTTTCAGGCCAATTATCCTCCTCATAAAGCGAAGAGCACCTGTGTGAAGAAAGAAATGCAAGGATTTAATCATCACCTGCCAGAGCTCCAGTCTGCCGCTCACAGAAAAAACTCAAACACCTGGTATTACCTAGAGAAAGATGCACCCCCAAACCAAAGCATTAAAAAGCACTTTGGGAAAGCGCAGAAGCAGCAAATGCTGACAGGCCATCTTTCTTTCCTACTTTGACTTTCCTGGGTACTTGAAGGTCTGAACTCTTTCTCAAGTCCAGCAACAGTGCACTTCAGCACATGTGAATTTAAATTATCAGCTCACTCCTGTGCTTCACTCTGTTCACCTCCCAGAACCAACTGCATGTCTTTAAATATCCTGGTTCACAAAATCCCATTCACTCTCTGCAAGGAGCACCAGATTTATCATGCTATTAAGAAATTACACTATTTCCATTTAAATGAGGCAAGACAGCTAATCACAAATGATCCTTACTGTCAGGAAGACTTGAAAGGATCACTGTGGACTTCAAAGGATATAGCAATCCTTCTTCCCCTGTAATGTGATCTACATTCACATACAGTTGTTGTCTTTTCAAAATTACTTAACAGCAGTCAGTAATAAACAGGGAATTAACATGAATTCCAAGTTCAGGTGTACCCTGAAACCCCTTCCACATAGTATACATGGAGCCTTAGAGAAGGAAACCACAACTCCATACTCACACAAGGCCAGAAATGTGTGTTTTGAATTCATCAACACCAGTACTCTTCTTAGCAAATCTTTATTCATAATGTAATTCTTGATGTGATATGTGTGATGTTCCACACAAAACGTAAGCAGCTCCAGAATTAAGGCAAGTAGTTGTGCCGTTTGATAATTATCTGCAAGAAAAACATAAGCCTTAAATTATACCAAAATAACATAACGTCCTACACCAATTCATCACTGAGCTCAGTTGCTTTTACAGTTCCTGACATGTTTTAAGGTCAATTAAAACTTACCAGGACAAATTGTATTACTCTTAGTGGATCCAACTACTGCATCTGATCAAGAGAGAACAAGAACAAAAATCAGGGAAAGATTTTCAAAGTACTGTCAGTCTTTAAAAGATGGGGATAAGCAATCAGTTCTACCAGATGATCAGATTTTTTCATCACATCAAAAGTCTCTGTAAGCTATACAGACATAAACATGCAGTTAAAATGCAGCCAAATGAGACTGCTATATCCAATTTACCTTAGAAGGTTTCCAACCCAACTAGGTGAAAATATAACCTAATACTTAGGAATATTATTTCTGCATAGACTAAAAGAAAGTGCCTATTCTAAATTTTTCAAATAGTACACTAAAATGAGCACTACTGATATTTAATGAGTTTTAATTTTGTATTAATGCAGAAAACATTAATTTTTTGACTTAATATTTAAGATGGGTAAGATGAAATAAATGTTTTTATCCAATATAAATTGGTTGGATTTAATCTCCTGAAACAATGCTCATAAAGCCTAAGACAAGAGGCTGTACTGATGTTAAATTTTCTGCTGTAAAGCACTAGAGGCAAACTAATAAGTGTTGTCTGTGTGCACCAAACAGATTTCCAATTCTTTTACTGGTACTGAGGTAAAAGGAAAAAGGAAACAAGATAAAGGAGTTCCAAGTTGCATTACCTGGAATCACATAACCACTGAGGATTGCCACAGCATTTTAATAAACTTTTACAAAAAAGTACCTGTGACCTACAGACCCTCTATGCCTTACAGCAAATATTTTGCAAAATTATACTAGTAAAACTAACACAGTTAACAACTGTAGACTAGTATGATTAATGTCAAGGCTGTACACATTTTACAAACACAGCATCAAGCAAGCACACTTCCAGCTGCCATCACAGGCTGATTCCTGGGACCAGCACTATCATTCACTTCCAAACATTACAAGCCTTAAAAAGGGAAAAATATATAATTATCAGTACCTTTGTCACATTTATCTTCTGATGTATTAGCCAGAAGTGGTGCAGTAAGAACGTGCATACAATGGTTGTAGAAGAAATTGAGAAACTCACTTTTTTCTGTTTTCTAAGACAAAAATAACTTCATTAAGCACTGGCAGTTGTATATAAGCTTTTAACTAAGAAAGAGCAGGAACAGAAGAAACAGCCTACAAAGAATTCTACTGACTCCTTCAGGTCTGCCTGTACATTACTGGTTAGGCCTGCAGCATTGCCTTCACTCAAGGAAGATGGGTTTCTTCATTTTAGCTTGTTTCAATTCAGTATCAGTTTAAATTCAGCATCAGACCAAACACACAGAGAATATCAGGTTGTTAATTTGCTGAAACAGTGAAGTGCCTTCACCCCTCTGTACTTCCTTACATTAGCTGTGGCCAGCATGTTCTCCGGGTCGATCAGAGTCCGCAACAGCCCCATTAACTGCACAGCTCCCCCGAGCTCCGGGTCAGTATCACAGATCATCTGCTCGATGACCACATTGATGAGGAGGATGTCCTGCAAAAAAAATCCCAAACAAACCCACCACAACACAATTAGGCACAGTTTCAATAGTGGAATGAGTTCCCTAGTTTCTGTGATTTTTTTAAATAAGAAAAATAGGTGAAACAGAAGATTTGAGAAATGCATTTGGACAGAGAAATTGTGTCAAGCACAACCCTCCACACCTAAAATCTCTGTTAAGCAGACCTACAATCTTATAACTGAGCATGTCAGTGTTCCATGATGCAGCAATGTTTCTACATTAAACCTACTGTTTCCTATGTTTCTGGTATTTACATTTTGGGGCTAACTATATCCCAAATTCTGGAGAGGTTTGTTTTGCTGTTTTGCTTATTTTCTGTTTTATCCAAACTCATGTATTCAACAAACTCCAAACCACCTGTACTTACATCATCACTCTGCTGGGCCTCTTGCATTACAAATTCTCGGACCATGGATGGGCTAAATTCTACTAGATAAGAAAATATATCTGTAGCAGCAGATCTAACTTGCAGATCATCCATTCCCTAAGAAAACAGGAAATTAATTAGTTAGAACAAACTGAATTTGGTATTTATTATCAAGCAGAGCTGAAAAGGAGAGAGAGTTCAAAGTTTTAAGAACATTTCATTGCATATTTTCTATGACAAACACAGTAATACAGTTAGAGAAAAACAACAATAAACCACCAAAACGAACTGCAATGGTCAGGCAGAAACAGCTCTTTCAACCAAAGGAGTGAAAAAAAATTATGTTTCCCATTGCTGATTAAGACAGATTAATCCACTAATGACAGGATTATGTGATCTTTCGAGTAGGAACACTTCGAGATTATCTAAAAATACTTCTTTGGCCCTGGTCCAACAACCACCACACCTACAGGAAACACACAACAATCCAGCTGCCACGTGAGAAACACTCTCTTGCAATTTCACGCTACCTTGTCACAAGGACTGCACTGACCACAGACTGCCTCCAAATGTAAAAATGACCAAGTGCAATCCAGCCAGGCTGCTTCAGAGAGCTGTGGCAGCTTTTGCATTCCAAGCACCACGATCACCCTCCACTCTGTGCACAGCAAAGCTGTCCCAGCAAACTTACACAGAGATGCTCGGCAGATCCAAAAACTTGGATTTGTTAAAATCAGCTTGAAGACTTCACTTACCATTACAATTTCAAGAGCTGGAAGAATTCCCAACTTGGCCAAAGTTTTGAAAAATGCATCTCTGTTCTGAGGTTGTAACGTCTGAGAAAAGGCGCAGAATTCCTTGAAAAAGTTAACCTGTAAGATAGCAAAAAATAATTTCAGGTGTACTTCAGTCAGAAAGCTCTCTGAATGGGAACTGTTTTCGTCCTTTCGTATCAGTTTGTGTACTAGTTGATTCCACAGAAATACCTCGATGACTGCAGAATGAGCAGAACAGTTTCACTGTTTTCTACTTCATCCCTCCCGTTTAAAGCATTCAGGGAATCACTGAGGGCACTGACTTACCAGTTCACATCGTTTATCATCATCTGTAGCTTCATCTGTTAATTGTGCAAAAACTTCAGACAAAAATTTCTCATCTTCCTGCATAACACACAAAAGGAACACAATTTACACAGCGCCCTATAAAGGCAAAATTTCCATCTTTCTAGGATCTCACACTGCAGGAAGTCCAGCTCGCCACACCTCCATTCACTTCATCCCAAAGTAGGCAAGTGCCAGAGTCCACCCCCAGCAGGATCGTTCCCAGTGCACTGTTTCAGCACTCCCCCTGAGCAACAGCAGCAGAAGCTCCAGGAGACCAGAGCCACAGGTTAAGCTGAGCTCAGGGGATGACGCCTAAAACTGCAACTACAAAGTGCCACCCAAGGTACAACTTGGAACCTGCTGCACCTGTGCCTCTCATGCTACTCTGTGACATCCCACAGGAATCATTTCCCACTTCTGGATCTGCAGCACTGCAAAGCATCTTTTCAGGCCACCTGGGCACAGTGACCAGATTAACACGTTACCAGTTTGGTGGAGCCATGCGCCCCTTAACCTGCAATAAAACAAGATCCTTCACTTGCAGACACACTGCTTTGCCAAGATGGGAAACTTTTTGGACTATTTTTCTTTTCATATTCACATTCTCTACTAGCAAGAGACATTTAAGCATGTATGGAACAACATCTCACTTCTTGTAAAGCATTTCAGTTACCCTATTTCTTAAGAATCAAGAAGTACAACAAAATCAGGGTGAACATCAATCATCATCTCTCAAGTGTTTAGGCACTTTCTGCCCTCTCTGTCCTTCAATTTCTCTGCATTCCTTCACATGGAAAATAGTGTTGATTCTGTCAAATCAAATGTCTCTGTTACCCTTTCAAGACAACATAAATCTGAAAACCATTAGTAACATGCTACAGCATTACAAATTACGCATCACACTATTATTTTGACTCTATAAACTTCTGCATTGAACAAACAAAAATGGAGTAGTAGCATTTCAATATACATGAACGTTTGCATAATGTAGAGGGTGCTTACCTCTCTATTTTGCTGTGTGTTGTTGCTAAAAATCTGTGTAGGTTAACTTAATACACAATTTTTACAGTCACAGGAATGTCACCCAAAGGCTCACAAATTTTTTTCTTGAAAATTTTAAGAGATGGGGAAAGAAGCACTTTACAAACAAATGATACCTGGAATTAACATCAAAGAGTGCAACATGCACAGACTTAGTATTTTATGTCAAGCTTTGATGGCTTTAACAGCTTGATTAGGCCTGTTAAAAACAAAACCATACCACAATTAACAGCAGTGATGCTAGGAAATCCCTACTACAGAACACCTGACCACAGAAAGATCTCTTGCTTCTCTAAGGCTGCTCCACAGTGTAGTCCTTATGTCCTAAAGCACAGGCTGGATCTAGGTTTGCTTCCCACGTGGTTGCCCTTCCATCAATAGCAGCACTGAGATCTACTGCTCCACAGCACGTAGCAAGGAGCTTTGCTGCTGCAGCAAACACAATCTGCTGCTCCTATAAACTGTGTTCTCCCAAGGAGCTTTGCCAGTGTATTTAGGGAAACAAGACGTCTAATGTGTTCACCAAACCCAAAGGAGCTTTAGAGTTCTTGTGCCACAACAACAAGCTGATTTACACCAGGAGGCTGTGACAGCAGTCCTGAACCCGAGATCCACACCGCCACCACCTCAGGTAATCTTCCTCCAGTATGCTATCCGTAACATCCCTTCCATGTGCGCTTTCTTTTTGGTAACTCTCAAGGATACAAGTATCAACATTATTTGTAAATCACGATGCATGCCTCAATCACAAACTTCAAAACAAGCCGGCAAACCTATGTACTACATAGTCTCTCTGTGATGGCAAAGCCAGTGACAGAGCCAGCAAAGAACTGCCAGAGGATTTCAGAACCTTCTGCAAAGACTACTAGAGATAACAGCAAATCAGAGTTTTCTGTTACGGCACAATTAAATATTCAGTACTGCAAAGCCTAAATGAAAAATAAAGGGATTTACACACTTAAAAATGGAAACACGACTGTGGCATCAGGAGAATAATACTGAAGTTATTTTTAGTCTTAAAAAATATCTGAAAAAAAATTTAAAGGGAAATCTTTATTTAACACAAAGTCATTGATTTTGCAAGAGGGATTTACAGTTTAGCTTTTTTCTGCTATTTGGCCATAAAGAAGTAGAAAGAAGCCTAAAAGCTTACTTATGCAGTTCTTCAGTTTTGATTTTTCTCCCAGCCCTCTACTGTACTCTTTATCATGTTCCGCTCATTCCTGTATTCCACATGGTCATGTTATTCCTCCAGTGCCCCTCTCTTTTCACAATTTTTACTCCCCTCCTCCTCAATTCTTCCTCCTGTTTCACAGAGGCTATCCACACTCAACCCAGTAGGTTTGTGATGCTCTGTTCTACACAAATGTACCATTTTTGGACAGGGATCCAAAACAGAATAAACCACTTTGGTGCCCCTTAGTTCACACAAGGCCATCTGAAACACCAAAATGTCACCAAGTTCAAACACAGCTCTTCACCAAGGCTCCTTCCAGGGTCCAGCTTGAAGCCTGCTTCTGACTACAAAGGATGCAGGACAGTTTTTCATACTGTAACATCTTGGTTATTTATTATTACTTCTGGGTATCAGCAAGAAAAAACCCAGCAACTACTACTTAATTTTTATGACAACACGAACATTTGGAATCAGTACCAGAAAGTAACAGAAGTATAACAGAAATGGTTTTGAACATGCTCTTTTGAATCACAGATCCATAATTTGTTACAAAGACAGCACAAATGTCCTTGATGGTACAGAATTCTCTAACTTGCTTGCTGCCTAAATCCTATGTAAAACTAGCTCAGAAAGTACATTGCTTGGGAATAAGGAGAAAAATCTTTAACGGCTTACAACCTGTTAAAAAACATTAATATACTCACCTGAAATCTACCTTTTTAAAATACAAAGGTATCAGAAAGAAGAGGAAGCATTTAAACACTGTGCAAATCAAAGTTTGTGCGATTAACTGTAATCCATTTTGAAACTACCACTACATAATCCATTTTGAAACTACCACTACATAATCCATCTAGACGATATTAAAAACCACTTACCTGCAACATACTGACAATCTCAACTTTGTTGAAGAAAATAAAGGAAGTGAGGGTAGAAAGAAAATTCTCTTCAAAAACAGATGGTGTCGGCAAGATGATGTCCTGAATATACTGTACCCTGTAAGTCTGGTGGATCTTTTGCCTGAGTTCAGAGTCTGTAATAGGAATAACCTCCTTAAATTTTGCTGTTTTGGTCAAGAACTCCCTGTGCCGTTTTGGCTGAGCCAAAGAAGGATCATACTCAAGGCATCCAACAACATCCATAATACACTCGTCAGAGAACATCACCTCAAACAGAGTTGCTTTGTTGAGGAACAAAATTCCTCTAATAATTTCATACAAATGATGTAAGCCTTCGGTGTTCTCCAAATTCTCGCAGACTTGAAAAAGCTGTAACAGTTTTTTAATGTAGCCTTCATTCTCCAAGGCCAGTGCTAGCTTTTCCCTACGGATGGGTGAGGAGAGAACAGAGGTAACTAGGTCAGCAATCTCTTCAAGTTTGTTGAGTTCACAAGTAGGAAGGTCAATCAAAGGACTAGTTTCAGGCATTTCCTCTATGTGTTCCTCTTCTGACTCAATGAGGTCCTGTGTGACTTCCACCGAAGGATCCTTACCCTGAACCTAAAGAAAAGAGTGCACACAATTACTGTCTTGTCCCAAAATATACATAAACATAATCAAGTCAATAACTGAAATAACAATACATCTCAATTCCTAGTTTATCCCAAGTAAGCTGCTAGGGAATCTGAGCTCTAGGTTTCATTACTTCACAGCTTCACACTGCTCTGTTTCAAAGCATGAGAAGGTTATCATAATTCCCACCTCAAAGTCAGGGGGGTTTAATCAAAACAAGCACACAAGCCTCTCTAAGACACTCAGCACCTGAGTCTCATCATTACCTTGATGTTTCAAAAACCTGACATTCAATCATGAAAACAAAAACTGGTGTTCTAGGTAGGGGCAACTTCGGATCTTACACAGAAAACAACAATGAATATTCACTTATTTTACAAGCAGGTTTAAAAAAGAAACACAAATACAATGAGTCACAGAGGACACCAAGACATCTGGAAGAAACAGAATGTATATGGTTAACTGTACCTGGCAGATTTTTTCCCAAATTTCATCACAGCCAGCTTTTTCTTGAAAACTCAGTGCTAAATCATAGTTCTCGGCTTCTGACCAAACTATCAGGGTGTCCTGTTTAATATAAAAACAAGAAAATAATTGTTTCTGACACAGGTCTGCATTGCACATTAATCTATATTCCATTACAACCCATGTCCAGAGAAAAAATAGTTTTAATTAAAGTTACATTTGTCAAAAAAGAAAGTAAAACACTAAAATATTAAATCACCTGTTCTGCCATAAGGGGCATCAACTTTGCTTTTTGCTCTTTCATGACCATTAATCATACATATATAGTTAAATCTACCATTTTGCATATGCAAGTCACTTATAATGGCATTCTTCTTCAAGATACTTTGGAGCCAACACTACTGAAATGGGAATGCACACACTGCAGATTAATAAAACCTGCAATATAATAATTTCAGTATTTTCATATTTAGTAAAGTAGAAACAAAAAACCAGCTTCCTCCTCAGAAAGGGTTTGAGAGCCCTAGCAATGTGAGAAATAATGCCTAGCTAATGTTTAAATACTCTTTTCTGATTAAAAGACATACAGCCTCAATAACAGAAGTCGGAAGCTCTTCCTAGAGTTACAAGCATCTTGTCAGTTATTTCCATTTGGGCAAGGTTTTATTTTCCTCGGTTACCAGTGCCTCCATCACTTCAATTTGTGCACTTGCACAGCAGATCTGGAAGTTTTACTCAATTTCTGAATAACTAAAAAGGTTTTTTATGAGGTTTTATTAGGACACTTGCTATTGTACTGCAAGGAATGTAAGCCTGTACTCCAACATCCAAATACACAGTTGTTGTAAATACCATGCAGCAGCTCACTCACTTCCCACCACCACAGTGGGATGGGAAGGAGAACTTGAAAAAGGTGAAACCCCCGGGTTAGGATAAGAACAGTTTAATACAGGAAATAAAGTAAAATATAACGAATACTTAGAATAATAACAGCAACAGAAAAGATAAAACCTACGACAAATTATGCACAACACAGTTGCTCACCACCCCCTGACCAATGTCCTGCCAGGCCTCCCAGCCAACCCTCCCAGGTCATACACTGCCCATGCTGTCCTAGGGTATGGAATATCGCTTCAGCCAGGCCGGATCAGCTGTCCTGGCCGTGGTCGCTCACAGCTCCTTGCACATCTCCTCACCTGCAGAGCATGAGACACTGAACAGTCCTTGACTCAGGGTAAACACTGCTCAGCAGCAACCAAAACATCCATGTGTTATCAATGTTATTCTCATTTTAAATCCAAAACACAGCACTGCATATGCTACTAGGAAAAAATACACCCTATCCCAGCTAAAACCAGGACATTTCACCACCCTACAGCAAGATCACCTTCATGTTAAAATGTTCAAATGGAACAGTTCTCTGCTAACTCTGCAGTACATTCCATGAGCTCCAGCAAACAGTTCAACATTCCACCAAGTTTGCTGACTTCCTGAACTGCTAGGACAGTTTTTCTAAGTATTTTTTAGACATAAGCAAGCCCTTGCTTAATGAACAGAAAGGGAATTTACTTTCCACCCTTTAAATATTCAATATTCACCACACAACTCATTAAGGCCTGTTAAGGCTTTACCTTATGCATCACTTTTATTATAAACAAAATACTCAAAGTGGTATCTTTAAGCTCAGCAGCAAAACCCAAAGAAACACCTGCCTGGCTTTCAGATACCTGATATACCTTCGGAAACTCTAGAGGCAACAAGAAACAGACACTGGCATTGCCCCATTATGTTTTCACCCCAAAAGTACTTCTTGGTTCCCTTGTGCACCAAACAATAGGAAATTATAAACTGATTGATTACTATTTGTAAGGTGTTTGCTATGGTGAAAGGCCAATCCAAGACTGGGTATCATCCATCCCATCTCCATCCTTGATGTATCAGCCAAAGACAGAGGAACAAAAACATAATTATTGATCATCACTACTCTTGAACCTACTGTCAGTATTCCCCAATCATTTTTCATCAAAATCAGGTTAGCTTAGATGATTTAAGCAGACTTTTGTAAATAGAGTTATCTGGTCTTACACAGGTCAGGGAGCACTCAGGAGTATTTCCACTGGCAGGTGCGAGGGAACTAACACTTGGGACAGGACTGCTGACAGCACGGGACTGTGGGTCACCTCTTCCATCAGCACAGTGTTCTGCCTCAACAAAATTTACCAGCTGCTACAATTATCACCCTGGAATAGGAATGAAAATCAGCACCACTGATATGGCATTAATTCTTCAGTTCATTTCACAGAATCATAGAATCAACCAGGTTGGAAGAGACCTCCAAGATCATCAAGTCCAACCCTACCATGGTTACCAGACCATGGCACTATTTTTATCTTGAAAACCTCCAGGGATGGTGAATCCACCATCTCCCCAGGCAGCCCATTCCAATGCTTGATTACTCTCTCTCTAAAAAATCTCTTTCTAATATCCAACCTAAACCTCGCCTGGCAGAGCTAGAGTCTGTGCCCTCTTGTCCTACTGCTAGTTGCCTGGGAGAAGAGACCAACCCTCACCTGACTACAACCTCCTGTTAGGGAGCTGTAGAGGGTGATAAGGGTCTCCCCTGAGCCTCCTCTTCTC